CCCAGCTGAAGCATTATAAAAACTATCCATGTAACAAAAACATCTGTAGCCCCTTAATATCTTGAAATTAAAAAATATAAAGGGTAAAAATACATGTCTATTCCAATTCCATTAGTAATGTGAGCCCCCTCGTCAGCATTTCCATGTGTAGAAAAAAGTGATAATTTTTAAAGACTATTTTCTAGTTATATGGCAAAGTATAAACAAACGAGGGGGTCTCAAGAAGCGTCATGATCCGAATTGTGGAAAAATCTCTATGCATTGACACTTTCTCTCCTGGTGTCCTTCCAGGCACATCTTCTCATCTCCGTACTGACGCCTCTTCCTCTGTCAATCGATTAAATCTCGTAGATCCCCAAATCTCATTGGCTGTGGCTATTTTCTGTAAACCTGTACATTCTCCCTGGATGATTTGATCCGCTCTAGCCATTTTTAGTCATGACTCCAAATTCTTATCTCCAGGCCAGACTTTTTTGCTAGATTCAGATTCAAATCCAGCTGCAGGATTGTCTTTTGATCCCGGTGCCTTTGTGGAGGCTGCTTCTCAGGCTAACTCACTCCCCTATGTCAGGTGTTACCCTTCCCACCAGCCAGCGTTTTGACCAGGCTGAGTGACACAGGTACCCCATCATCCCCTGTTCCCATAACACCTCGAGCATCTCCCTGTCTTTACGCGTCACATTCTTATCTTCCTTTCAAGTGAGTGTCTATCGTGGGATAGACAGTTTCTTGACGGCTGGTTACCAATTGTAGGTGTAACACATAATATCGCTCAATAAATCACAGAACAAACAGATTCCATTTCTAATCTTTGTGGGTGAACTTAATGAGCCATGAATTCTAAACTAGGTTGTCTTCAGGGACAAAAAAAAAATGCAAACTCAGGTTCACAAACTTTAATCATTTATTAGTTTCTTTTTTGTTATACATTGAATTGTAGATGTCCTGTAATTAGTAAAACTGTCAACAAAATTATTTTTATGGTTTGCCATCACAAAAGTCACAGGATTTCTAGAATGCTATATGTTTACCTATTTTGATAGGTCCCATAACTACCGCTACTCACTCTAAATCCAGTTTCACATAGAAATAAGAAAAGCTACTCTTCACTGAGCACATTTCTGTATGTGAAACTTAGTGTCCTTATTCACATTATCTCATTCAATTCTGCCAAAACTCTCTGAGGTAAACTATTATTACATGCCCATTTTAGAGATAAAACTGAGGTTTAAAAAGATTGAGTAACCTTCCCAAAATCAGATAACTAGTAAGGAGCAGAGTGGATGGGAACCTCAGTCTCACTTCAGAGAGCTTGAGTTCTTAAACACTATGATACTTGACCTTTCAACCATTGGAAGGGGCTTTGTGAAGAGTTTGCACGTAACATGCCAGTCATCCCCAACTATGGGGCCCGACTAAACCTTCTGATTCCAGGTAGACAAAACTAAACAGACCAGTCCTCAGGGACACAAAGACAAGACTGGCCCTGCAGGAAAAACAAAGATCAAACAAATCCTGGCCAAGCCACAGCCTGCCACACTGAATGGCATCTGCAGGAAATAGTATGTGTGTGTGTAAAGAAAACTATGGAGTACGAATCTATTAAAAATCAGAATTCAGTTCCCACCAGTTCTTGTCCTAAGTCTTCTTCCTTATAGTCTAGTGCTTGAAGAAATACTGGCATTTTAAACTAACAATCATAGGTCAGCAAGAACTACTATTTGTTCAAGGATCACAGGCTGAGCTGATTTTGTAGGTGGTATGCATTTATAGCTGCCAATAAATTATTCAGGTTAAAAAAAAAACTCTCAAAAACAAAAATGGTGAGGGGCTGCTTGAACTTTGAGGCAGGAGAAGTATTTGAGGGGATCCTAAGAATCCCTGGGGCAGGGGGGGGGATGGGCAGTTACTACTTTGTACCTATGTTGCTCTTAGGTAACAGGGTTAGACAGACTCCTGTGAATCTTCAGAGGGAAAGGCAAAAGTGATTTTTTCTTGTAAATGATTTGATGACCCTTGTCCCCGTTTCTTCACCACTTTGGTAGTAATCTCTCGGATGCCTCCTATCTTTAAGAAATTAGACTCAAAGGTCAAAATCCACATGACATATACATATATATTTTTTCCCACTGCCCCCAAGTGGTAATACTGAGAACTAATTCTAATAATTGGGCATATTTAAAAAATTCTATCAGCTAATGTTACCTGTAATGTAATCTATAAGGGAAAACCCACATCCCTGTAGGAATTGGTACTTTTTTCAGTTTACTGAGTGCCTAGTATGTGGCACATAGTAAGTGAACAATCTCAATCCTCAAAACAGGCATGATGCCAGTTTTACATTTAAGGAAGCTGAAGGGAGCAGAGTCAATAGCTGAGCATTCTGGAACTTGCCCACAGTATCCTTGGAGTCTATTCTCCTCAGGAATTAGGAGACAATAATCTGCCTCCCAGAAGAGATGTGTGTGGTCTCATTTTTCTTACACTTCAAAGGTGACCACATGGGAAAAGAAATTTCAATATTCATTCTACAAACAGCAGAGAGACACAGTACTAACAGAAGCTGATCCCTGATATTAACATATGTACCTGTCCTTTGTCCTGCCATCAGGAACCAGTTAAAAAAAAAAAGGTGTGGGCATTCCAAGAACCTGGAAATCTGGCTGGCCTCATTGACGGCTGCACTCCCATCACTTAGTACAGAGCACAGCATAGAGGTGTTCAATAAACACTGGGATGAAATAAAGTCCATGTGGGAAGATGGGCCAGCCACTACTAAGGATGAAGACTTAGTGTTTTGTTTTTTTTTTTTTCCTTCAGGAAGACTTCAACTCTGACTAACAGGAAAGATGAATCCAAAGATGTGAAACTAAACTGGGATTTTAAAAAAGTGGGGCCTGTGGGCCAGGATGAAGCTTGCCAAGAAGGATGAAATGGAACTAGTGTTGAACTTTTAAATGTGGATTCCTGATCTGAAATGTGTTTCTCCCCGCACTTAAATCATATGGCCCTATCTTTCCTTACATATTTATTAAAGCAATACTGTGTCATTAGGCAATGCAACTCCTACAGGCATTACTGGAATGAGGGTATCACTTCAGACTAGTGGGAGAACATAAGGGATTTCAAGTAGGTTACTTGTTGAGTAAAAATAACTCCTAAAAGCAAGAGGTGTTTTTTTTCTTATAAAGCGAAGTCAAACTGATTCTCAAAGGAGTATATGATGGAGACAACACCATGATGAAACTAGAGACTTGAGAAAATCATTTTAAAAGCTCATGAGCATGTGTAACTCATGACTAAAGGCTCTGTACTGTTATGCAACGTGTTGGGGGAACGAATTTCCAAACTTATAACTCATGCTTCTGTATTACACATATTACTGCATGTTTTCTCATTTAAAAAAATTGTGAACGTAAAGGTGCTATATAAAGACATCTGATATTCAAATCATGAAAGCATAACAGCTATTAGGCTAAGAATGTCTAAGTCGATATCGTGTCATCAGGGCCACCATGCGAGGGCAGAAAGTTAACTCCACCTTTTGAAAAGTATGGCCGGAGAGACAACTTCCTGCCGGAGACCAGCGCAACTTGATAGTTCTCTTCCCAGAACTTGGTCCTGACCGCCCACAAACAGGGCAGGAGAGCGAAGGCGCCGAGAAAGGGAAGTAAAAATAATTCCAGACTAGGCCACGCCGCACCTACCTACTCTGCCTCCCCTTTGCCTCAGTATGAGCAAAGGCAGCCCCCGCCCTTTCTCCCGCATCCTCCCAGAAAGCCTCAAGGGCGATGTGCAAACCAAAGCATTCCAAGGGGCTCGAGCCAACCCACCTGCACCTGCTCCAGAGCTTTCCTGGTCGCCCCCGGCGTTGGCCTGCAGGTCCCCGCAACTACACAGCTTTCTCGACCATACGCTTTTCACTGACTTTATTAGCTCTCGACCCCGACCGGCCCCTGGCCGCCCACCTCCCCGCTAGATCGCACCGGCCCTCCAAGACATCCAGCACAGCCAAAAATCACTGTGGGACGGCTAGGAAAAGAGGCTTTGCTGGGGAAGCCGGCTCCCCGGTGGCGGCGTCAGGGTCACTTGCTCTTCGCCTTCTGACTCTCCGTCTTCTTGGGCAGCAGCACGGCCTGGATGTTGGGCAGGACGCCGCCCTGAGCGATGGTCACTTTCCCCAGCAGTTTGTTCAGCTCCTCGTCGTTGCGGATGGCGAGCTGCAGGTGGCGAGGAATTATCCTGGTTTTCTTGTTGTCCCGCGCGGCGTTGCCAGCCAACTCCAGGATCTCCGCCGTCAGGTACTCCAACACCGCCGCCAGGTACACCGGCGCCCCCGCGCCCACTCGCTCGGCGTAGTTACCCTTGCGCAGCAGTCTGTGCACGCGGCCCACTGGGAACTGCAGGCCCGCGCGGGAGGAGCGGGACTTGGCCTTGGCCCGCGCTTTGCCGGCCTGCTTTCCGCGACCTGACATGTCCTCCTCTCGCGTAAAACACCAGAGAGGGAGAAAAGCCGCGACCCGGGGCTGGTACGGGAATGCGGCGCCCCACACCGGAACTGTCTCTACAAACTCTTTGCTGCCACTAGGAAGCGCCTTCCCATTGGGGGCCGCACCGCCCTCGGCTCCGGTGACCAATGACTATCAGGCTCTGCTCCCAACTAGCGCTCTGGCAGAGGGACTGCCTCCTCCCTCTCTCGCCAATCAAAAAAGCAAACCTTTATTCCTCATTTACATAATGTCCCCTATAAATACCCGGGGGCAGCCTGCTCCGCGTTTGGGGACCCAGAGGGATTGAGCGGGTGAGGAATTAAGGGGCGCTCGGGTTTCCATGCTCACACTCGCTCCCAGGGAATGAAACTCTTAAGAAATAAGGAAACGTGGTCGGAAACAGAAAAAATCAGGAATTAGAACTGCAAGGGTTGCCCCTAGCAAGTGAGGTCGCACCACGTGCCAGACCTTGCCATGCTTTCTAGGCGGAGTTCCCCATACGTAATACAGCGTCCTAGTCAGTTATCTCACTGCAGAGCCCGCTGCTGCTTAAGCGCAAACACAGCCTCTGCCGAGTTCTGCCTGCTCAGTACGGGTATGTCGCCTGTTCCTGTGTACAAGCGCTTTGCCGCCTGCTACCGAACAGTGTGGGGGAGCTGGCTGCAAAAAAGCTTCGTCGGTAGTTGGCCATCTGAACTGTCTTTACTGCACCAGGTGACCCCGACCGTCTGGCCAAGTTCTGCTGCTTGTTCGCTTCTAAGGGCGCTGACATGAATGCTTCCTGAACTGACCGGGGACGACAAGATGGCCTAGCCAGAACTTAACGTCTCTTGTCTTTGGGGTTATGGGCCTGAAAAAAGCCACCAGGTTTTATGGGAGGGGCCGCAGGCGCAGCTCAGTTGCTGAGGCTGAAAGTCTTGGCCTTCGCTTGCTGCCTGCAGGTCCGGGCGCAACCGATCAGCGGATCACCTTCTCCGGGAAGACTTGGAGGACCCCCAGCGTCTCTTTATAGATGAGCCCAGAGACTAAAGGAAGAATGGCAGCAACTTCTTATGTACTTCAATTGCGGACCCATAGTATTTGAAACTAAGTTTTTTTTTTAATTAGAAATTACTTTCTACTAATTCCTTGAGGTAATTTTAATTATCTTAGTATTTTTCACAATTATACAGTACACCCCTATGTGATGTAATGTTAAACACTTGCTTATTAAACAATGTTTAATGTGGATTATAGTATCCATTTAAATTAAAAGTAAAACAAATTTACTGTGTCAATATCCTAATAAAGATTTGATTTTATTGAAATAACATTATCAAGTATTTATGTATGTCCTTGGTGCCTAGCACAATGATTAACCTCAATGTCTTTGGAGCTGGGAAGCAGCATATTGTCATGGTTAAGGTGGTCATTCTGGAGCCAGACTGACTCTGCCAAAATTCTGAAGTTAAATAAATTTGTTCAAGGTCACTTAGTAGCTGACCTTCCATAAGTTATTTAACTTCTGCGCCTATCTCAAAGTGTCTTGAAAATTAAATATGTTAATTAAGTTACATATGTTAATAAGCACCCAATAACAGAATACTGAATAAATAGACACATAAATCTCTCATGCAATTTTTTTTAATAGATAAAAATGCCTTTATTTCTAAGATGTAGCTTAACCACACCTACAGTGTACTAAGCCAGTTCTGGAATCCATCCTGCAGCAGAAAAAAACTGGGCCAAAGCAGGAACCATCAGGGCTTCTGGTCCCAAGCATCAAGATGTCACTCTTCCAGCAACTCAATCTATAGAGTTTTCTTCAGCTGTTTTTTGTGACGTGCAGAGAGTCGTTTTGGATTCCTTTGTACCACAGAGAGGTCCGACCTTGAGGAAGACCGGTAGCCCACGTCCTCTGCTTTTATGGGCTTAATGATATGGCCTGCCTTGGTGACAATCTTGGGAGTAGTCAGTTTTTGGAAGGCCCTCTGGGTGTTCCACGTAGACCCTATAGGGGTCTGGATGGTCCTTTCAAATTGCCGATGGTGGGTGAATGGATATGGGAGCACTCGCACCTGATGAGCCGCTGCGTGGATGTTGCGCTTCTCATTGATAATCACATTTGGCAAATTCTTGTCTTTTCTTGGAGGACCCTCAGGGGCTTTTACGAGAAACCGGCGTCTTTTCTTGGCACTGGGCTTCAGGCCCACACCACCCCACTCGCCCCAGCCAGGTAGCGTCAGGTCCACGTCCTGTGGCTTACTTGCCTCCACAGCTTCCCTCTTCTCTTTCAAGAAGTCTCTGATGACATCATCCCCAGCAAAAGCTTCCTTTATCATCTGCTTTTGGTCTCTCTCCGCTTCATCTTCCAACTCCTCTATTGTTGTGGGAACTGCCAAAGACTTCACGGAAGGAGATTTTGTGGTTAGGAGGTTCTGTAGGTCAATCATTTTCTCCTTCTTTTTCTTCTTGGGAGCATTAGTCTGATTATTTGGGTTCTTCTTCAACTGATGCCCTTCTAACATAGGTCTGGGAAGCTCATTTTGAAAACATCCTTCTTTCTCCAGCTCTTCTAGCTCTTCCAGAGTCTGTACTCTCTCTGGCCTCTGCAGCAACAGAGGTTCTTCTTCTTCTTCTGGGGCAGGTTCCTCTCTCTGGACCTGGAGAACAGTCCCCACTGAACTTGCTTTTTGCTTCCTGGACTGACGGTTTTCCTTGAGTTTCTGAGACAGTGTTCTCAATTCAAATAGCACCTCTTGGCTGATAGAATCTTTTGTTTCTTGACTGCCCACTGACTCAGCATCCTGGTTGAGCTCGGACCTTTTTCTAAGGGATTGCGTTTCCTCAAATTCTGTCAACAAAATTTCTTCCTCTGCCACCGGTCTTTCATCTCCCTCACTTTCAGAAACATTGTGGGCCAAAGGCTCTGGCAGTTGTTCAGGGTCCTCCTGGATTTCAGCCTCTTTTGCATCACTGGTGCAACTCCTGAGCATCCAGGGATTTGGTCCATCTGCATTCACCTGTGCTTCATTCACTGCATCAGGGAAGAGGAGTTCCTCCACTTCTGTGCCTCCCTCTTCTTCCTCACTCTCTGAGGCTACCTGGAGTTTCTGTGTCAGTTCTTTGTTCTTGGCCAGTTGTTCCTGTATAGCTTGTCGAGCCTCCAGGTCATATTTGGCCATAATTGCCTTTGACTTGGCCCATTTCCCACTGTTCTGGTGCTTAAGGCTCATTCGCTCCATCATTCTGGCCTTTTCAATTTTTTCCAGTTCTTCCAAAGCTGTAGTCGGATTGACTTTCTGCAGCTGCTCAAACTCTTTTAGGGCTTGCTTGGCCTTTGCTTTCTTCATGACTCTGTGATATTTTTTGCTTTTGATTCTCTTCTCTCTTCGAGCCCTGGCTTCATAGTAGGACTGTAGAGCCCGGGCCCTCTGGAGCTCTGCTCGGCGCATCTGTGCCTCTTCCAGGCTCATGGCTTTGAGAGAGGCCTTTTCCACAGGAGTCAGTAAAGGGTCTGTCACTGGTTGCTTGTTCTTTTGGAGGAGGTTAAAAATTTCCTGCTCCAGCGGAGTTCTCGCCTTCCAGCCACTGAGCACATGTTCAATGGGAGCAAAGGCTGGCTGCTCCTTCTCCAGGGGAAAAACCAGCTGTTCTGCTTGCCTGTTCTTCAGGACGATAGGATCCCATTTGGAGAGGACTTGTGAGGTTTTATTGAATGCAACTTCTCTGTGGATCCGTTCAACCTCTTCTTTGTTAAGCGGTAACTCCACAGTCTTCTTTGATTTGACTCTATTCAGTTGCTTTTTCACAGTGGCCAATGAGGATGAAGTTTTACCAGGCTCAAGCAGATCTGCAAGGACCAGCTTTTCTCCTGATCCTTCAGAACTGACATTGAACTCTGACACTTTCAGACTAGCCTCAGATCTCTCAGCCAATTTCCGCCTATTCTTTCCACCAAGGGAGCTGATTGCTTCCAGCAGCTTTTGGTGCTTTCTCTCTCCATCACTGTCCCCCTCATCTTCACTGGCACTCAAGGGGCAGTCTTTTGGCAAATCCACTAGTTCTTCCCATTGGCTCAAAGCCAGAAGGCTCTCTGCAGCTCGGTTAGCACTCATCTCAGCAGCCTGCTTGTCTCTCTGATGCAATTTTTAACAAGATGTTCCTGGAATGAGTTGTGTAAACTAGCTTACATGGATGATTTTAAAAAGAGCTCTTAAAATTATTATTTTGGATACAATAATACTGAATAAATAGACACATAAATCTCTCATGCAATTTTTTTTAATAGATAAAAATGCCTTTATTTCTAAGATGTAGCTTAACCACACCTACAGTGTACTAAGCCAGTTCTGGAA